TGGAACGGACATCTATAGGTTTTCCATAGAACGTACATAGAGACTTTTATACAGAGAGTTCCCCGTGTAGACTTCAAAGTGGTTTTAGTTAAGCCAGTACTATGATCTGAAACACTCCATTATACTTTTGAAGGAAATATCTGCACACAGGACCAAAATGCCAGCCTTGTGTATTCTTTCTGAATGTCTGAAAAGTCCTTAGAAGATGAAAATATGCAGAAAGAAGAAGATATGCAGAATTCTTTATATATTTTTCTTCTTCCCAGGCATTTATGGGATGATACAGGACTGACATTCAACAATCTTTAAGTATCTTATACTTTGGGACTTAATGATCAAACTATTTATTATCCATGGCAATTATTATTATTTTTCTTTCCTGAATGATCAAAATCCTAGTACCTGGGAAGGAAAAGCTTCATCTTTCACTTCCTAGCTCTCATCTGCACTCCTCCCAGTGAAAAAGATTCTACTTTGTACAAATGGGCACTATTGCTGTTTACACCTGTAATCAGTATATGGGTTGATGGGATGAAAGCACAGGATTATGCTGAAGTTCTCTCCTCTGTGCTAAAGTTGCACAGCAAATCCCAAAGGTAAAGATTTTCTTCAATCAAAGTTGATACCAGGCAATTTCATGGACACATCTGTCACGTAGCTTTGTTGGGCAACAGATGCAAGTGGTTTCTTACTCCTTCTGCAGGGGTATTTTTTGATTTCCATGTCTAGCTTATAGATTTGGGTTTTTGCTGGTGGTCTCTCATCCAGTTTAGATGAGCTTTTTTGAGATAATTCAAAATTGGTTAGGTATTTTCACTTTTGCAAGCTCCAGTCTGGATTGGTCATCGGGACCAGAGGTTTAGTCTTCCAAGCTTTTGGACTTGTGCTGGAACCTGTCTCTCTCTCTCTCTCTCTCTCTCTAATTATGTTAAAAGAGTCCTTATTTATCCAAAGGCTTTGTTTCGATAGCAAGTTAGAACTTTCCATTGACCTGATATGTGGCACTTCCTAAAGCATGTCTATAGAAATACACTGGGTTTACTATAAACGCATTTATAAAAGCCCATTGCCATATATTATTGTTGTTTCCAATTATATCAATGCAGAGCCTTAAAATTGTATATATTATTTTACCTCTATTGTAGAGTGCTTCTAATTATGTGTAACTTTTTATTTACCCAGTTGTCCATTTTGCTAACTATAAGTCTTGTATCTTGTATGTTATCTTAACTCAGAGGTAGGTTGTGTTGTATAAGAAGCCTTTAATAATGAAGGATTAAAATGCATTTTTTTTGCAGTTTAGTTACTGAGATATGAATGAGTTTTATTTTGTCATGTGTCATAAAGTGTATATTGGATAACCTTTGTTTTAAAATGAAAAATAATTCTTCCATTAAAGTTATAAAAACCATTGCATTATAGTGATATATTTTAAAATAACATCATAAACTTTTTTCAAAGATATGCAAATAAGACTAGAAAAAAATCCAACCTATCAACTGTTCCTTATCCAGCTATCCACTTTGTTACAAATGTACTATGTTTGGTATCTTGTCTATTATTTTAACTCAGTGATAGATTGTGTTGTATAAAAAGCTTTCAATAATGGAGGATTAAAATGCATTTTTTCAAGTTTTAAAGATTTTTGACTTTGATTACAGTACCTTGCTAAACATCTGTTCTGAGTTTGCTTACACACTATAAATATCAGTGATATCAGTTGTATCTTGCTTATGTCAAACAACTCATTCCTATTATTCCAATTATTATATTTACTATTTGTTTTAATAAATATATTCAGCAGTGAAGTGATCAAATGAGTCTCACAGACAGTGGAGTATTATAGAATATAATACTTTTGTAGATTAGCCTACACCCCAAAATACAATTCACGGTGGAAATGGAAGCTAACAACCAATTCCCCTTTCTGGATGTCCTAATCTACAAAAAACCCAATGGCTCCCTAGGAACACCATCTACCGGAAAAAAACACACTCCATTGCTACTTAAACGCACAATCCCATCACCACCCTGCACAGATCAACTCCGTAGCCAAGACCCTCATCTCCAGAACCAAACGCCTAGCCAACAAAAACCACCTGAAAACTGAACACACTCTCACAAACATATTAATCTCCAACAGATTCCAAAGAAATATTATTACCAACCTAATCCAAAGGGAAACACCCCCCAAGAACCGAGACATAGAACAGTACAACAACATTGTCCTCCTCCTCTACATCAAAGGCACCACAGGTAAAATCAGCAAAATTCTCCACAAACACAATATCAAGACAGCCTTTGGCACTGATCAAAAAATAGCCAACATCTTAAGAAACCCCAAAGACATGATCCAGTTAGAAAACCAAGGAGTCTATGAAATATCATGCAAAATATGCCCAGCTACATACATTGGACAAACTAACAGGAGAATAAATGCATGCATTGCAGAACACAAGAACGCAGTCAGAAAAGAAGAAAAAACTTCCTCCCTCTTCCAGCACTTTAAAGCTACAGGATATGAAATTGATTTTGAAGGAACCAAACTAATCTCCAAAACTGAACACCACAACAAGAGAATAATTATGGAAGCCATCGAAATAGAAAAACACCCCCACAACATGAATAAACATGGCGATACCTCCTGCCTACCATACACCTGGAAACTAGCCCTAATCAACAAACAAGTCCTAGCCACGAAAACTGACACCGGACCCAGAACTACACAGCATACCACCACCATTCACCCTCACCAGACCCAAACCTAAGCCCAAACCCATCCCTCAGATGAAATGCAACCACCATCCAGAAGCCAAACCATGACAACATCACCAGCTGCTGCACCTCCCTCCGACCCTCACACTAAGCAAACGGACACATGTCATAAACACAGAGCTAGACTGCAAACTCGGAGCCAAACGAAAGCCCAGAATGTCACATCACAGCCTTCTGCTCTGGACATCACATCACAGAACTCAGGAGGTTACAACGCTAAAGCTCAGTATATTACAACACAGCCAACCACCCAGGATGTTGTAACACAGAACTCAGGATATCACTACACTAGATCTCAGAAGGTCATCACACAATCCATTACTTAGGTCGTTACAACACAAAAACTAATGGGCACACAGCCAGCACCTCAGCTACTCAGGATGTTACGAAACAGCCGAACAATCTGCAAACAATAACTCCAACACAGCCAACCAACCTACCTACAGCAACTAAGTCAGCACTCCACACACCCCCACCAACATTTATAGAGAGACGGCAGCTCCGATCACACTTTGCTCGCACAAGCACGAAGCTGAAGACCCCAGCCTGAAGATGATGAGTGGGACCTCATTGAAACGTCGGCAAGATACTCTCAATCTTACACAGGAAAAGACCTGAATACGCTAAGACATATATATATATATATATATATATATATATATATATATATATATATATATATATATATATACATATATACATATACATATATATATATATATATATATATATATATATATATAGTAGGTCTTTGGTTGTTCGGGTTTTCTCCCACGTAAAATTGGAAGTGTCTTGGCGACGTTTCCTTCATAAACACAACATCAAAACAGCATTCTGCACAAACAGAAAAATATCCACCATCCTTAGAAACCCCAAAGATAAAATTGAATTAGAAAATCAAGGAGTATACGAAATCCCATGCACCACTTGTCCCACCATATACATCGGACAAACCAACAGAAGAATAAGTGCACGCATTGAAGAACATAAGAACTCAGTCAAAAAAGAGGAACCAACATCTTCCCTGGTCCAACACCTTAAAGCCACAGGACATGAAATTGACTTTAAAAATACCAGAACCATTGCCAAAAGTGAACATTTTAATAACAGAATAATCAGAGAAGCCATCGAGATAGAAAAACGCCCACACAGCATGAACAAGCGAGATGATACCTCCCGCCTACCAGCCATTTGGAAACCTGCCCTTATTGACAAACGACTCCCTAACCCCAAAATCTTAAACCCCTCTGCAACTCAGACTAACCTGAGCACAACCAAACAGAACACTCCCCCAGCCAATCAGAGCACAGCCAAGCCCCTAACCATTCAGAACACACCTCCACCCAATCAGAACACAGCCAAGCTCCCATCCAATCAGTTCATACCCTCACTGGCAGTTAAAAGGAAGAAACAGCTAAAACCACACATTGCTGCTCAAAGCAAGAAGCTAAAAACACCAGCCTGAAGATGACGAATGTGACTTCGTCGAAACGTTGCCAAGACACTTCCAATTTTACGCGGGAGAAAACCCGAACAACCAAAGACCTATATACAAATACCCGCGAAAACCTCAGAAAACAAATATATATATATGGTACAAATAAAATACGAACACCAGGAGAGTATAAATATAAAAATATACTTTACTAAAAGCTGCCAAGCTTTCGTTTGGCACTGATCAAAAAATAGCCAACATCTTAAGGGCTAAGGAGCCAGTAAACAATGATGACTTAAATGGGTTTTGCCGGCATCTGTATGAGTAGAGATTTTCTAGCTCATAAAATGATTAATAAAAGTTGTAAACCTGAATTTTTTATTGAGGTTTTGGATAAAACAGAATAAGATGCACTGAAGTTATCAGAGATACTTGAAAATCTAATTTATGTGATTATATGGAAAAGAATTGCACAGTGCTGATGCTAGTGATAGCTAACCAAGCAGGACGGAAGGCTAGATGGGGGTAAATGGAATGCTGTTATGTATTAACTTTGTAGACAGATCATACTTTTAAAGGCATGGATTGGGCCATACATATTTTTCTTCATAGTCACGTATATATGAATATACACAGAGAGATATATTCAGAACTGCTATCATTTAAAAAGGGGGTGGGGCGTTTGTAGTCGTGATGGATTCCTATGGAGATGTCAAGGAACTTAATTTTGATCTTCTCCAGGTAAATGACTCCAGTGCTCTTTTCCTTTATTTTTTTTTTCTCTAAACAGTACTAGCCAAAAAAGTGATGATGATTATGAAGATTATACTACCAACAAAACCTGGGTGTTGACTCCCAAAGTACATGAGAGTGATGTTACCCTCATTTTAAATGGCCTGCTGGAGGGGTATGACAACAAACTGAGACCAGATATAGGAGGTGAGAATGTTGTTTATTTATTTACTTTAAAGGTAATTAGATGGAGAAGGGGAAAATGTTATCTATGCAATTTTTGGCAATCAGTATCTTTTGTTAAAAACCATTGTTTTCTTTAATACCTTTGTATCTATTATAACCTTTAAAATGTTACAGCTCACAGTGATTTTAAAATATTAATAGCATCTTATGGTACACATGTTGCTTTTCACTCGTTGATCTAAGGATCTTGTGTCTGAACAGTAAAGTTGGAATTGACTTCAATGTCAAGGTATAAGTTTGAGAAGGATATTATAGCATTCTGAACAGTTTGTATTTCCATTGAACAGTATCAAATAAGGCTGATATTGTTCATGGCTGAAACCATAGAACCTGGACTTAACTGGTCAGGCTGTATCTTTGCAAAAGATGCTCTATGCAGGGAAACATTTAATTGAATTTAACAACATGCTTTCAGTGGTATTAGACTAAAATAACAAAGTCTGGGATAGAAGAGAATAAAGAATCATGACAAAAAGAAGATTGTGTTGATCATGCAGCAGTGTGTGGAAAAAATAAAGTCAGCTTTAGCATTAGCAATAGCAATAGCACGTAGACTTATATACTGTTACATAGAACTTTATAACATTTATAACATTTTCCAATCAGTTTACAGAGTCAGCATATTGCCCCAACAATCTTGGTCCTCATTTTCCTGACCTCAGAAAGATGGAAGACTAAATCAATCTTGAGCCAGTCAGGATCAAACTCCTGGCAGTGGACAGAGTTGGCCTGCAGTACTACATTCTAATTACTGCACCACCTTGGCTTTAAAATGAAGTCATTTTTATTAAAAAATAAACAAACAATCCATTCTAAAGTTGTCAAGAAAACAGTGCATTAGCATTGTGCATTTGCCCTGACAGCCATGGGAAGCCTATGTTAGTGAAATAACATGATCATAACAAATTGCTCAACCAGATTTTCCAGAGAAGTCACCAAGAACAGAATAAGGTGCCTCTCAGATGATAAACAGGAACTGTTATAGTAATCTGTTCCAAAAAGATGTAAGTAACAGAAGAAACCAGGAAATGATTAATAACCATCCTAATGTAACAACCATTAGTCAATGCAAAACACATGAGAATGGGATGAGCTTGAATCTTTTACTGCTTGAAGCAATGAACAAAGTTTCACTTTCTCCCATTTTATGTTCAAAGCCAGTATGACTGGCACATGAATTTACTTCAACACTGTCAGCATCTCATGTCTTCCACTGTATAAGCTGCAATAATGTAGAGAGTCTCTTACATCTAATTGTGCTTTTTGAACCTTGCATTGCTGCTCTTTGGTAAATGTCAACTGAACTAACTGCAACCCAGTACTGGCTGCAGTAAAGTTGCAGTAAAATTTCTCCATCCTAATAGGATGGAAGAACCTTTGTTTGTAGAAAATCTACTTATCAGTATGTGATAAACAAAACAAAACATGAGCCCTTCTTTGTGCAGCAGGATGCTCTTCTGGGGATCAACTGTCTGAACTTCGAAGATAAATTTGCAGCAGGGGTAGGGATGTTGAAATAGTTTCTAGTGAGTTAGCAGTAGAGAAAAAAAAGCCAGAAGTTTCAACTATTCATGTGTGTATATTTGTTATATTTTATTGTAATTTGTTGACTTTAATCCTCTGTGCATCATCCAGAATCATTGCTGTAAAATGGGAGGCTTTAAAAATGTATTTATCTATTTATGTACGTATAAAATAAATAAATGACTTGTCAATGATAAAAATCAAAGAACACATTGAAAAAAAATGGGACTAAAATTAACTATAAAGACCAAACTAATTGAAACAGGTACAGTCTTAGATTTGACAAAGAAAATGAAGTAGTAGATAACTCCTGCAATCATCAGCCAAGAAATGTGCCATAGATTGGCACCTCATAGAGCAGTGTTTCCCAAACTTGACAATTTTAAGGCATGTGGACTTCAACTCCCAGAATTCCACAGCCAGCAACGCTGGCTGTGGAATTCTGGGAGTTGAAGTCCACATGCCTTAAAATTGTCAAGTTTGGGAAACACTGTCATAGAGTAAAAAAAAGACATTAAGATGCCAGGATGTGTCAATAATACTAATATCACAATCATGCAGTAAATTGTTTTTCCTGTGATAGTCTGTAGAAGCAAAAGTTGGATTTAGAAGAAGCAGTTTAGGAAGAGTGTTAACACTACTCTGGTGCTGGAGAAGACTCCTGAGAGTATCAGGGATAGCCAAGAAAACAAACAGATTATGGAACAAATCAACCCAGAGTTCATACTTGACACAAATGGCCAGGCTGAAATTATCCTACTTCAGCTACATTATGTGAAGACTTAACTCTCTGGTGATATCCATAATGCTGGGAAAGATAGGGAAAAAAAGAGGACAAGCAACAGCAAGGTGGACAGACAATTACACCACCATCAGGTATACCAGTGGAAGACCAGAAGGATCAGATTGGTCTCTAGGAGTCAGTGCTAGTTTAATGGGACATAATCAAGCCAATGATTTGGATAGGGTAAAGTAATTTGGATGGTCAAAAGGAGAAGAAATTGAAAACAGTGATTTAGAATAGAATAGAATAGAATAGAATAGAATAGAATAGAATAGAATAGAATAGAATAGAATAGAATAGAATAGAATAGAATAGAATTCTTTATTGGCCAAGTGTGGTTGGACATGAGGAATTTCTCTCCGGTGCATAAGCTTTCAGTGTACATACAAGTAATAGTGATAATCATAATCATAAATAACATGAAAATACATTCATCATAAATTGTAAAATACAACACTTCTTCATAAATCATAAGATGCAACACTTAGTGATACTCATAGAATACTAGCTAAGCAAACAACATAAATCATACTAGGATACTAAAAACAATATAAATTGTAAGATACAAGCAACAAAGTTATAGTCATAAGAAGATAAGGACAGGTAATAGGAAAGATGACGAGTACCATAGTAATTCAGCTTTACTAAGTAGTTTGACAGTGTTGTAGGAATTAGTTGTTAAGCAGAGTGACGGCTAGTCCAGAAGAAGGAGCCAGAAGAAGAATGAAAAAGCTCCTACCTTGGGACTCTGTGTAGACAATTGCAAAGAGGAAAAAGCTGGGCTATTTAAACATGTACTGTGCTTTTGGAATGGATGGTGCCTATAAGGAGGCTTATAGATGATATGAGAGAAGATTCAGTTCAGGGCAAATGCCCATTGTGGACACTGGGATTCATTCTGATTGAGATTAATACCTTAGTGTTGCCTCATATTATTATTGTATCTATGTTATGCGGTTCCTGAGTTTCTGCACAGTTTCCTAATGATATAACTAAAACTTGTAAAAAGTAACAACCAGAGAGGTTTTATTTTTCTTTACTGGATGTCATTTAGAGGGATGGAAGCTGTCTTTTAAAGTCCTTGTTAGTGGAAGCTTGGGGAGCAGGTTTTGTACAATAAGAGCTGAAAATGAAACTGCTTGGATAACTGCTAGAAGAATCAGCTCTCAAACTCAGGATTTTTGCTCAGGTAAAGCAGGCTCTATATAATTATTTAGTTAAAGTTATTCTATTAAATGAAGAATTCATTGTAACGATGGGAATATGAGAAACAGGGATTCAGGAAATGGAGGTGGAGAAAGAGCCAGAAATACAATATGAAATGATGCATTGAAGAAAATGAGGGATTGGTCAAAGAAGACATTTTATTTATGGTTGAGTTACCTTAATTCAGTGGCAAGAAGCGGTAATTGCTGTGATGAGAGGAGTAAATACCTCTCTTCACATTTTTATAGAAAATCCATCCCAAATTTTTAAAAAGCCACTCGAGGGAGGAAAATGGATGACAGCTTGTCCAGAACTGAAAAGTTGAGACTAGTTTGTTCATGTTTAGCAGAAAATGTGCCATATAGTGTTACAGTAGGGAAAAGATAGTAAATATGAGGTGGCTGTTTTCCTGATGGTTTGGTATCAAGGGGAGAGTCATGCTGTTAATGAGAGCAGCAGAGAAAGGAAGACTTCAGTTTCAATTTTTTTTTTTTTTTTTGAGCGAGAGAGAGAAGTACATGTGAATCAAAACTGATATCTATTTGTGAAAGTTAATGAATAATGTGACTGAGATTATAGAAACAAAATATTATCTTTGAATATTTATTTAATTAATTAAAACAGCCATATAGCCACCAATCATATGTTGAACTCTAGGCAGTCCCAATCAAATATAAATCCCAGCATGTTAGATTGTAGTCTAATTAATGGTACATTAGGATTATTAATTATAATTATTAATTCTAATTAATTATGCAATAATACAAATGGGATGAAAATCCATCCCACCAAGACATATTAGATTTTAATCTAATTAATGGTACATCAGGATTATTTATAATTATTAATTCTAATTATAATTTATTATGCAATAATGTGGATGGATGAAAATCCAACCCCCTTTTTTTAGTGCAAAAACTAATTTATATGGTGTTACAATGTTCATATTGTGTTTGCTGATCGAAAAAGATAATATTTCACATACTTCAGCTCTGTATTTTCTCTTCTTTCCTTTTAAAACTTGAAATTATGTTTTTTGGGCACAGTAATGTTTTATTTAGTTATCTTTAAAGCAACTTAGATGTTAATATTTGTAGAAAGAATGATTTGTAATTACTATGGCAGGGGTCTCCAACCTTGGCAACTTTAAGACTTGTGGACTTCAACTCCCAGAATTCTTCAGCCAGGCATGCTGGCTGAGGAATTCTGGGAGTTGAAGTCCAAAAGTCATAAAAGGGCCAAGTTTGAAGATCCCTATCTTAGGGTCTCCAAGAACATGACCAAACAACATCCAGATTTTTATCACAGGGAGTTGAAGTCCACAAGTCTTAAAGTTGCCAAGATTGAGGACCCCTGTACTATGGTATAATATTTTCTCCTCTGCCTATCCAAGCTGACTTTTTCAGGCAGACGAGAAGGAAAGGCCAGCCATAACTTATAGGAATAAGACTTGAGAACATAGGCAGATAGCTACTTTGGCTGTTCTCATTAGACAGCTTGTTTAGACAGAGAAGGGAGAAATAGTTTTTTTTCTTAGTTGTAACTCTTTTGAAAATAGTAGAACTTAGAATATCTAAGGAGAATTAACTTCTATTGATTCCTTATTAACTGAACTCCAAGTGCATAATTGTGGTTTATGGATTAAATTAGTCTCAACATTTTATGTATACATTTGCTATTTAGTTGAGTATGACACTGGTCAAAGAGCTTGTTAAATCTGAAGTCCCACCAGTGAGTTTAGGATTGCAGTGAAGGCCTCTTAACTAGTAAATCCTTAAATGTATCTAACTGTGCATCATATTGACAGTCATTAAACAGTTAAATAAGAGAAAAAAACCGTTTAGTTTTTACCATGTTTGTTCAAAAGGATATCAGGTTGTTTTCTCTATTGTTGTCAGTTCTTTGAGAAAAGCAACCAGAACTAAATTACCAATTTTTATTACAAAATAACCACATTTATAAATTTAAAAATGTCAATAATTAGAATTATAAATATATAAAATTATAAATAAAAGTCTATCCAAAAACATTGCATTTCTTAAGGGCTTTGATCTAATTTTAGTTAACTTTAATTATTTAGAACGGATTCCCAAAGTTGTGATTTCAGGATGATGAGAAAGATCACATCCTGTTTGAAAGGCAAAGTCTTTCTTATTGGCATTATTGATTATATTTTCTTTAATTGAAGTAATGTAGCTTTTAAAAAAACATTCATTTGCTGCTTCATTATTTTGCTAATTTGAATGGCTAACCTTATTAATTATTGTTGGAATTGTGTTTAATTTACAGTTTTACAGTTTTGCTCTTATTGTTTCTGTTACAGTGCAACCCACGGTAATTCACACTGATATGTATGTCAATAGCATTGGTCCAGTGAATGCTATCAATATGGTATGTAATAGCTCTTCATAGATTTTTGTCAGAGTTTATTGAAGATTGTCATTAGTGAACTCTGATAGTCCTTACTATATATAAATAATATATGTTACCAATAGTGGCAAATAATATATGTTAACATGCCACTGCCTTAAACACCTTTATAGAAAAAAATGAGTATAAATTATCTTTCTTGCCTCTTTTTCAACATAGAATTTTGCTGTTCTGGGGATTGAGTGGGAAGTGTGGGTACTTCTATGGGTGGAAATAAAGTGTTCTTTAATTGATTCTGTTCTGAGATCAACATGGCTAAAAAAACAAGATGAATTTTGACTGTTTCTGTGAAATTAGATGAGAGTATGCTCACTAGTTGAATAGACAGAGCAACAAAGATGATTAGGGAACTGGAGGTTAAAACATATGAAGAACAGTTGCAAGAATTGGGAATGTCTAACAAAGAGAACATCTAGGGATGACATGATAGCAGACTTCCAATATTTAAAGAAGAGGAATCCAACCAAAGCATCTGAAGGCAGAACAAATAACAGATGGAAACTTACCAAGGAGAGATCCAATCTAAAACTAAGGAGATATTTCTTGATAGTATGAACAATTATTCAGTGGAATGGCTTGCCTCCAGAAGTTGTTGGTGCTCCATCACTGGAGGTTTTTAAGAAGAGATTGGACAGCCATTTGTCTGGAATGGCATAGGATCTCCTGCTTGAGCAGAGGGTTGGACTAGAAGACCTCCAAGGTCCCTTCCAAATCTGTTATTCTGACACAATTTAGGGATAGATTTTTCCTGTTCCACCTGCATAACTCTTCTTGTATAGCCTGAATCTCTACTAGTTTCTCCTCAGCAAAAGGGCCAACAAAGTTTTGAGAAGTAACTTCATAATTACGTACTTTGTACTGAGATCTTACAGATCTTCCCTTAACACATTTTGTTATTCCTGCAGGAATATACAATTGATATATTTTTTGCCCAAACCTGGTATGACAGACGACTAAGATTTAACAGCACCATTAAAGTTCTGAGGTTGAACAGCAACATGGTGGGGAAGATCTGGATTCCTGATACGTTCTTTCGAAACTCAAAAAAAGCAGATGCACACTGGATAACAACACCCAATAGAATGCTCAGGATCTGGAATGATGGCAGGGTGCTATATACCCTCAGGTATTTTCATAGTTAATTCCATTATTTCCAGTGCTCAATACTTATTGGATGTGTCAATGTGAATAAAGAAGACATCATACATAGTGACTATAAAATGTCTTAAATATTTCAGCCAAAATTAAGTGAACATTTTCATCGTTAGAGCAGAACTATATGATAGAATAGTTAGAACCTAAGAATAGTTAGAACCTAAGAATCAGAGCATGCAATACGATATTTGCTATCTCTCAAACTGGTCCCACAGCATTTTAAGGAGAATAAAATGATGTCAACCAGTGCACTGTCATGTAATGAAAAGATATGAATGAACAAGACCTAAAAGCATCTCTTCCTCTCTAGCTCCCCACCAATTCTCTTATCTCACAACTATCCTTAGGATAAAATATGCATTTTTAAAAGGGGTATCTCTGCAGTGTTGGCATGCCCCCATCTTCTTTCTCTCATTGCTTGACAGGAAACTAAGGGCACATGACATTGTGGGCTGCTTGCAGCACTGTGAACAAAGAAGAAATCTCAATAGCCCTGAAAGGTTTGCTAGAAGTAAATACAGGAATACAGCTTAACATAGCTTTTACAATGCTGTTCAGTAGACTATTCACAGTTGATTCTTATGTTTAGAAATACATTAATTTTCATGGCCTCCATATTTCCTTGGAAGCCCACTATAAGAAACCCACTTGCCATGTTAGTTATGATAAATAGCCAGTTTAGTGGTAAATTTCAAAAGTGAGAAGACAAGCATGATTTATATACCTAAACAGCCCAGATAGGCAGGACTTGTTCCTTCTTGTCAACATTTCATGGTAAAACCCTAATTGTGACTATGCAGAAGTTATTACACTGAGTTTAATAGCCTTTACCCTCAACGAAGATGAAGAAATAGTTTACAATGAAGAAGGAGTGTAAGAATATTTCATGTACTCAGGAATACTTCTCAGGCTTTTAGCAGAGATAAAGTGTTGTGTATGAACACATATTAACTATTGTCATAGTTACAGTAAGAATTGGAAGGCTGAGAACATGACAAATAGAAATAACATCTGCCTTTGTTTATTTTCAGACTGACAATAGATGCAGAGTGTCAATTACAGTTATACAATTTCCCAATGGATGAACACTCTTGTCCACTGGCATTTTCAAGCTGTAAGTAGGCAACAATGGGATTATCCTGATGAAAGAAAGAGGAAAATAATAATAATAATTTTAAAAAACTTAATATCACAATAATCAGATAAAGCTGACAATGTAATATATAGCTATTGTGTAAATGTGCAGCAATAATCAATGCTAAAATTACCAAAATTACTACACAGATAAACACGTTATCTATTGCTCTTGATTTTAGAGAAATCTAGGGCATTTATCTATAAGTCACTGGACTATTTCCAAACAATAGCTATGCGGTTAAATAAATATGAGGCTACCAAGTACTCTTGAACTCCAACTAAAGAGAAATATTGCTGCCAAAAAGTAAGCTACCAATTCAGATTTCACATGTTTATAAATTCATCACATCTATGTCCCAACCTTCCTCTAAGCTCAGGAATATGTAAGGTTATGATTCCCAGAGTTAAGTAGAGTTGACCACACCATTAAATGGACAGAATAGAATGAAGAGACTGTCTCAGATGAGGAATGTCTCAGATGTAATCACTGCCCTCTGTTCTCTAAACTCAACTTCTTTCTTTCTTCAGCCATTATGGATGAACCTCTTCTGTGATTAATGCTGAATGTTTTATATGACATTTTGTACAAGAGTAAAATGTCTTAGGCAAGCCTATTTTATTGTCATCTAAGTCAGTGAAGTAAAATGAACAGGGATAGTGAGACTGACTCATTAAACTTCATAGCTAATGGGAGAATGGCATCTAGAAATACTTACTGCCAAGTCCAGTGGGGAGTCCAGAGCATATAATATCTCTTTCTCCAGAACAAAGCATACAAAAGTGCACATTTTATGGTTTTAGTTATTATTTAATAGTGGTTCTCTCAGATATCTATCAGAGCAATTTATCTTTACAGATTGGTGTGAACATTGGAATACATGTTTCCTGATAAAATCCATCACTTTTCTGTGTACTTTTAACATTTAAAAAGCCATTATGGGGGTTGGAGATGAGTAGCCAGTGAAGTTTCCTCTTAAGAAAAAGAATGTTTATAATTTGATATAGTGCAACTTGTCAGACATTTGACATAGTCATGCTTTTTCCATGATGGTTTGTAACTGTAAAATCTTTTTCTGAAGTTCTTGATGCTTTGGGTTTTAAATGAATTCAATAAGCATTGTGTTGCAAAATGGCTGAAAGTCATACAAGTGCATGAGACCCACATATAAATTGGAAAGTACTAGCATGTAAGTAAGGAAGCACTAGTATATAAAATACATTGATGTAATCCTGATTTTCCTTGGTTTGAAGATGGTTACCCAAAGGAAGAAATCATCTATATGTGGAAACGCAGTTCAGTGGAAGTGGGGGATACTAGATCCTGGAGGCTCTATCAGTTCTCATTTGTTGGACTTAGAAATACAACTGAAGTGATTCCAACAAGATCAGGTGAGTTAAGTAACTATGGTTTCATTATCTTTTCACCATTCTCATGAATTAAGGTAAAGGAATCCCTACGGATTTTACTCCACTAGTTGTTGCCGACTGTAGGGGGCGGTGCTCATCTCCATTTCAAGGCCATTGAGCCAGAGCTGTCCGAAGACATTTCAGTGGTCATGTGGCCAGCATGACATCACAGAGCACTGTTACCTTCCTGCCTTAGTGATACCTAATTATCTACTTACATTTGTATGCTTTTGAACTGCTAGGTTAGCAGGAGCTGGAGCGAGGACAGGAGCTTACTCCATCATGTGGTGCTCAGGTCTCGAACTGGGCTGCCAGCTTTCTAGCTGACAAGTCCCGCATCTTAATCACTGAGCCACCATACCACCCTATTGTCATGAATGAAATCCAGATGAATAGTAGAGGGAATGTTTATTGTATTTGTATTTGATAGCTTAAACAGAACATAGAAAGAAAAAGTAGTATAAGCTTTATAAGTTAGAGAAATGAGTGAAAATAAAAGTGTGAAATTTAATATACACCAATGCAAAATGTTTTCAATTACAGAGCAAAATTTAAAGAGACAGTTATAAGATTTGGGTGGAGGGGGGAGAGGGCTGTCATGATTAGGTAATGAAATCTATTTGTGATACAGATTTTGGAATAGTGGTTGGTTGCAAGTGGCCTAATATCACTGGGGGTGGGGGGAGCAAGTGCAGTTTTAGCGTGACTTCTAAATCCTGGGTAATAGTACTACCACTTTATTTTGCTTTGGCCAGATTTCATATCAGCTATCATGTTCAGCTCTGTACCCACATTTTAAGAAAGAGATAATGCAGAGATGGATAGCAAGAATGAACTAAGAAAACAGTCTTAGAAGGACAGACTAAGGAAACTGGATAGATCCTTGAGAAATGATTGCTGGAAAACATGATAGGGCTTTCCAAAGTGTAGAATGGTTATCTGAAAAAGAAAGACCTGTTTGTTCAAGAAATGGAACAATAATTTTAAGTTACAGGATGTGTAACTTAATCAAAGTATTTGATAGTGGAGCATTTATAAAAAGCAGTGGGGCATTTTTCCCCATTAGATATGTTAAAGCCAAAGCTAAGCAGCCACTGATGCTTTAATTTGAATTCCTGGGCTGAGCATATATTTGGACTCTTTTAGTGTTCTCTTCCAATTCTATGGCTCTCTAATCTGTAGGTTTATCTCCCAATCCATCTCCTGGCAATATCCATCTTAGTCTTTATATTTTTAGCTTGAAGAGAGCTTTTTGTTCATATGGATTAATATCTTCAGAAAATGGAGAAACTGCTTCTAATCTTATTCATCCAGACATTTATGGAAGACCATTTCTAGCTTGAATCAACAAAGATGAAAGGAAAAGTGACAGTTGGCATCATGTATGAAGATATTAGAGTGAGGATGGCATTCTTGTGCCTTCCTCATTATCCCCAATTTTAGCCCTTAAAAATGGAGATAACATTCCAAGATAAATACATTACATAGAGCAGGGGTCAAACTGCTGGCCCGTGCTCTGGTTGCATCATGCAGAGTCCACGCCCAACCCAGCTTCAGCAATGTGAAAAAAGTCACAATACATTGCAACAAGTCATGTGATATGGTGAATTTGACACCTGTGACATAGAGGATGTTTACCTTGCTTTGTAGACTGTGGTTGTTAATGAAATAAATGGTGGACAACCCAAAGGTTGAGGACATAATTTAATTTTTGATGAGATGTACAGGGAGTGAGGATACTCATGCAAAATGAATAAGGCCTCAGCACTTGGTATTACCATAGTCCATTTTTGTTTTTCTTTAGTTTCTAAGAAAGGATTTTTTTTTCTTTTATGGTATTAAACCTACTTAAAGATTTAAACTTCAGCTTTCATTTCAAAATTACCACCAGTGTTTGGCCTGAAAGGGCATTGGGAAACACAAGAATGACACTGAGGCCACAGATTGTTTCACTTGCTTTAATGACTCTGTCATAAAAACTATGGAAAACAGCAGGCAAAAGTTTGAACTCTGAGCATGAATTCAGACGTTTTAATCTAAGTTTTAAACTTTAAAATGTACTCAGAAAAAGACTGGCCCAACTCATCAGGAGGGCTTTAAACTAAAATTGAGGGGGAAGGGTGACAAATCTTTAGAATTTCTAGAACCCAAACCAATCATAAATCCCAAGAAAACAAATCAAACAATGAAGCAGGCAGTGATGAGAAAAAAGAAAAACTTAAACAACAGTCAGGAGATGCAGGAAACATGCCCACTGACAGGCATAAAACTCTTAAATGCTTATATACAAATGCTCAAAGCTTGGGGAAGAAACAGGGCAAACTAGAAACAATAGTACATGAGGGAGGGTATGACATAGTTGGCATTACAGGAACCTGGTGGGATGAAACCCATGAATGGAATGGACTGATAGATGGATACAAATTGTTCAAAAAAACAAGTCTACAAAAAGAGGAGGGGGAGTTCCACTATATGTAAGAGAACACTACATATCTACAGAAACGCACATAATCAAAGATAAAATCTCTCCAGAATGTATATGGGTTAATATAAAAGAGAAAAAAAGTGACATTGCCATAGGTGTATATTACAGGCCACCCAACCAATCAGAAGAAATAACCAGTTAACAAATGTATGTAGGAAGCCTACAACAGTAGTAATGGGAGACTTCAACTATCCGGATATCAACTGGGAGACAAACTCTGCAGCGAGCGGGGAGATCAAACAGATTCCTAACCAACCTAAATGATAACTTTGTCACCCAAAAGGTGGAGGAGGAACTAGACATAAAGCTATACTGGACTTAATTCTTACTAATAGAGAAGAAGTGATAGAGGGAGTTGAAGTTGCCAGAACCTTGGGTGAAATTGACCACATCATACTGGAATTTAATATAATGCAAACACTAGCAATAGAAAACAACCCAACCAGTGTCTTAAACTTCAAAAAGCTGACTTTAACAAACTCAGAGAGAACCTAGAAAAGATCTCATGCATGGGAAACTCTGAAAAATGCAATCATAAAAGTCCATACCAGCACAATACCACTGAAAAAGAAAAACAAGAAATTCAAGAAGAAACCAACATGGCTACACAAGATCTCTCTGACAAACTGAAAGAAAAAAAGGACAAATACAAAAAAAAAATGAAAGGAGGGGCATATACTGTAACTAAAACCGATTATCAGCAGACAGCTAGAACATGCAAAGATGAAGTCAGGAAAGCAAAGGCTCAGAATGAACAAAGACTTGCAACAGAAATCAAAGATAATAAAAAAAATTCTTCCAACATATTAACAACAACAAAAAGTCAAGGAAACTGTAGGTCCACTAAAGAAAGAAGATGGCAAGAATATAACAGGCAACAGGGAGAAAGCAGAGCTGCTTAACTTATACATTACATCAGTTTTCAAACAAAAAGAAACTATAGCCCAACATACAAAAAAAAAAAAAACACTGCAAAAGACAAACTAGAAACAAAAATGAAAATAAGCAAGAAAATGGTAAGAGAACACTTATCCAACCTTGATGAATATAAATCACTGGGACCGGACAGATTACATCACAGAATTCTGAAGGAGCTGGCAGATGTTATCTCAGAACCATTGCACCACATCTTTCATAAATCCTGGAGCACCAGGAAAATACCTGAGGATTGGAAAAGGGCTGATGTGGTTCCCATCTTCAAGAAAGGGAAAAAAAACGGATCCAGGAAAGTACAGACGAATCAATTTAACATCAATACCTGGGAATATCCTAGAAAAGATAATCAAAAAACAGATGTGAGAACAAGCAGAAGCAAACAAAGTTATAACTAGTAGCTAGCATGGGTTTGTTAAAAACAGATCATACCAAACCAATCTTATTTCATTCTTTGAAAAAGTGACTAAATTAGTAGACCAGTGAAATGCTGTGGACGTATTATACTTAGATTTCAGTAAGGCATTTGATAAAGTAGACCACAACCTACTATTTGGTAAGCTAGAAAAAAATGGAATAGACAACATCACCACTAGATGGATCTGTAGCTGGCTGGCAAACCATACTGAACGAGTAGTCCTCAATGGTACTACATCCCCATGGACTGAAGTAAGCAGTAAAGGTTCTTTCTTAGGCCCAATACTCTTCAATAACTTCATAAATGGCTTAGATGAAGGGGAAGGGGAACTCATCAAATTTGCAGATGACACCAAATTGGCAGGAGTAGCCAATACCCCAGAAGACAAACTCAGGATCCAAAAAGATCTTGATAAACTTGAACAATGGGTCCTATCCAACAAAATGAGTTTCAATGTGGAGAAGAGCAAAGTTTTACATTTAGGCAGGAAAAATCAAAGGTACAAGTACAGATTGGGTGAGACCTGGCTTAAAAACAGTAACTGTGAGAGGATCTTGGAGTCCTAGTGGACGATCACCAGCAATGTGCAGCAGCAGCCAAAAAAGCTAATACAATCCTGGGTTGTATAAACAGAGGCATAGAATCAAGATCATGCAAAGTATTAGTACTGCTTTATAAAATCCTAATAAGACCACATATGGAATACTGCAGCCAATTTTGGTCACCATATCACAAAAAAGATGTTGAGAGTTTAGAAAATTTTTTAGAGAAGAGCACCTAAGATGATTAAAGGCCTGGAGACTAAAGCATATGAAGAACAGCTGCAGGACTTGAGTTTGGCTAGTCTAAAGAAAAGAAGAAAAGGGGGAGACATGATAGCAGTATTCCATTATTTGAGGGGCTGCCACCAAGAAGAGAGGGTCACATTATTCACCAAAGCACCAGAGGGCAGGACAAGAAACAATGGCTGGAAACTGATCAAAGAGAGTAGCAACCTGGAATTAAGGAGAAATTTCCTGACAGTGAGAATAATTAACCATGGAACAGCTTGCTTCCAGAAATTGTGAGTGTTCCATCACTGGAGATTTTTAAGAAGAGGCTAGATAGTCACTTGTCTGAGATGATATAGTCCTGCTGCTTGAGCAG